GGGGGGGGGGGGGGGGGGGGGGGGTGCGAACCTGTGTGGTACCATCTGGGCGTTGGCGACCACACAATAGCTTCACCGTAGCGCGAACACCGAAGAAGTTGGCAAAGTCCGAAATTTCGTACACCATGAACTGTCGCCCTTTGGTTCACAAAAGCATCACATCATTAGCCACCACTCGAGGGCGGTTTTGTGTATTCTCTGTTCTACAACGAAGACTCAGCATTTTATAGAATGCCCATCGCTGAGATGAAAAATGGGTCTTGGACAAGGACCTTGTGTGAAAGAGAATGTGGATGAATCAGTTTGAGAATTTCAAGTGCCGCAAAACTCTACCTTCACCCAGGTATGATACTCTCTCCTATTGGTTGCCTAGGTTTGGGGTGGAATACGGGAAACTCAATTAAGAGCTAAATGAAATCTCCTTTCAACACGACAACTTCATACCATTCGCAGCAAAGTAGACGCTGTTCCAGCTGGTAGTGAACCAGCCTACATATGGCTTGCTCGAATTGCTGACTGTTGAAACACTTCTTATGTCACTTGGATTTCAAGTGACGTAAGATGTGTTCGAAAAGTTAGCAATGCGAGCAAGCTATAGGAACGAATCAAGATTCAAAACGTGTCAGCAAGGTACTCAGCGACTTCCTGCAGGATCAGCCACAATTATTCAGGAAAGGAAAGCTCTACTGAAAAAACGATGGTTGGCTTGTGCGACGTTTTAATACAGAAGAATCGTTGACATGTAATACTACGTGTTAGGGTGCTCGGAAAGTTTTGAGAAAATCTTGCCTCTCAACTTTGGAACGTCGCGTTGCTTGCGACGCGCTAAGGAAGGACTACAGATTCAACAGCAGGGAACCTTGGGCTCAACACGCTGACGCGTGCATTATGTTGACAACCGCTTATCTACGATGGAGTCGTTCAGTGGAATGTTGGATAACAGGATAATATAAGATATCTACAGAATAAGATGTTCTCTCTGAATTCGAGCGCTGAACTGCTGAGAGCATCGCGCTCGATATATTTCATTTGGGCAGAATTATTAGTGGTTGATCATAGCTCCGTCCACCTCAGTGCAAACACTTCCCACAATAAATTTGGCCACCCTTCTTTTGACTGCTCCTAACCATTTTCTCGGCATTCTGGAAAGTTTTTGAAGAGATAAGTTCTTGGGACTAGCCCCGCTCCCATACCAACTCCTCCCACATCGGGGATCCAACCACATTTGTTCTAATGCCTCTAACCACTTTCTTCCCGTATCTAGAACGTTTCCAAATGGAGTTATGAAATTTTGATCTGAGCCTTGCCCACTTTAGTTCCAATCTCGTCCACTTCGCGGATTGACCACATTTGTTCCATTACCCTTAACCATTTTTCCCCGCGTTCTAGAATGTTTCTGAAAAGAGTTATAAAGTTTTGATCGAAGCCCCGCCCGCTTTAGTGCCAACCCTGCCCACGTCGAGAATCTGACCACTTTTGTTCCATTACCTCTAATCACTTTTCTTCCCGCATTCTAGGACGTTTCCGAAAGAAATTACTCGGGGGGGGGGGGGGGGGGGGGGGGGGGGGGGGGGGGGGGNGGGGGTGGCTTCGCTATGCGCTTACGCATAAGGTCTTGCTCACTCTTTCTATTTCTTTTCCTAACCTCGACGTCTTCGTTGAATCGAACAATGAATCTCTGTGGACAGTACCGCCCACTGCGAGAACGCGCCGCCCACCACCGGATCACTTTCCTTTATTTCAAATATTGGCTCATCTCTCAGTTTTGCCCATTTTTCTCAGCGTCTGCGCGTTATGCATAGCCTAGTCAATAATTTTTTTGTTTATGATGCCGCCCACTCGTGTGGACGTCCCACTCCTTGTGGGCGGACTTCCGCTGTGCTCACATGTGCTCTATTGCTCTTGTCATATGTCCAACCCATCGCGAACTTGACCCGACTTCTGCAGGTGCTTCTTCAAATAATATCGAATTTCCCTACAAACAAACAAACACCCACACAGACAGACGCGAGCGCTTTATATATAGTAAGGATACTATAGCTGGCTGACGCGACGCGTGCCACTTCTACAATGTGACCCAGTTCCGGCAGACGCGCGGAACGAAGCGCACGTTTTTTTGTGAGAGCAATGGCGTTGTCATTGTAACTTATGAGTATTTTTCTACTAGTGGTGGGCAAATATTGATCTGCTCATACTGAAGCTCAGCCTTATATCTTTCGTTCAGCTATATTGTATAGGATTCCGGTGACTCTTCATTGATATTTTCAAGTTTTCATCACAATTTTTATCAGCTTTTTCAAAGATTCTGCCTGTCTTGTTTCTGTTTTTTTTTTTGACTTACTAGGTTTCACTACTAGCAGTGCTTTCTGCATCCTCTTACTCACTCAAGTGGCTGATATGCGACGCGCACGGTTTGATATGAGCTGTATTTTCGTCAACTTTTAATAAATTGGGATGGACAATGCACGACCACCCCACGCAGGGACGTCGATGGATGAGTTGGACTGAATTGCATAACGATTCCGATCCCCACATATTCATGTAATCTTAGCTCGTATGACTGCCATGCTTTCAGATGCTCATAGACCTGCATTACAGGAAAAAACTGAGCTTCCGAACATCCTGACATAATTGTGCTTCAGCCCTTACCGCGATCTGACGGTGCATTTCATTTTTTCTTCAATCACATTAAGAGATGTTGTCAAAACTGGTTTTATAGAGACCGTAGCTTGTCACGTTATAGGAAAACGCGTTGCGCGATGCTATATTGTGTAGGCCTTAGTGGTCAACATCGGACACCAATGAGCCAAATGAAACCGTTAGAAATAACTAGGACCAACTCTTGAACCACTATTATTGGAATAGTCGAAGAGGCAATTCAAACCCGTACGAACCATTCACGCCATCCTTTGTGCATGACTTGTTCACTGCTACCGACATGCTGTCTGGAGAAAAAAGCAACAACTACTATACCTTATCAAGTGCTTTACATCCTGGATTTTTACCAGTGATCGGTTCTTGGCAGGTGGCACATATTTCTGCAACAAAAGCTCATTAGTGTGAATGAATGGAATGCAGTAAATGCGTGAACTGAATCACAACACTTCAAGTTCTTCAATAGGCGGGAATAGGGTGGCGGAAAGAGGAGTATATCGTCTCTCAGGAGAAGGACTCCCTGTTTTGCTGTGCTGAACTGGGCCTACTTATCCTCTGTATCTTCGCAGCCGTGTTCATGCATACGTGTGTGGATAGTCTGCGGGTGCAGTTGCTATCCTACTCAGCCAAAGCTTGCATTCGAATGACTGCGAAGTATCTGGTCGGTTCGGGGCTGCGACGGAGATCAAATCCCCTCGTCATTTGTTGGTTAGGGAATCCCCTATTTGTAGTCCACCCAGCTCGCACCTTAGAGCCTGGCAAGCTGCTCGTGGGTACCAATACGCCAAAAACATTAATATATATGGGCCTTATCCACCTAAACTTGAGGAAGCTCCCAATGCGGCAGCTTGGGTAGGGCTACTCGGGAGAGGCTGCAAAAATGCCAGGGGCAGAACAGGCTCACTCAGTAGAGAAGTGCTAGGGTAACGATCTCTACTTCTAATACATGAATACTTGCACTGGAAGCGTGTCTCGAAGATCTGATGGTGCAAGCCAGGAAGATCAAGTACTACGTCATCGACCGACCGAGACGGACGGCATCGTCGTCTGCACACAGTTTCCGAGGCTGCAGAAAAATATTCTTTGGGACATGCGACGTCAGACATAGACGTCCTTTCGGAAAGCTTTTTTTCATGTTCTTGGATTCGTTCGAATGCTTGACAAGCGAATATGAGGTTGGCGTTCGAAAATATGTGGATCAATAGTATCTCTCGCAATCTTCGTTGCCTCATCATCAAGCAACGAAGATTGAAAGCTAGACGCGTTTCATATGGGCTCGGAGGAAAGCTTTTCAGAGAGCCAATCTTTTTTTCAGATTCGACAGCGGTGATTTCTACGCCAAGAATAGCCGATGAAGTTCACACCAGCACTCATGATGTGGAATGGAATAAACAGGGTGGAAGGCTATCCGAGTTGATCATGCCGACATGCATCATCCACGGTAATTCGCAGTTCCAAGAGCATTCTCATTCGCAATGGCTTGTGGGCTCACCTGATATCTTTCATAATAAAGTAAATTTTGTCCATCAAAGGTGCCTGATGTCTTTTTTGGTCCGGAGCGCTAGGTTCTGTTTTCCAGTGCAAGGAGAGAGAATTGCGATATCATGGAATAAAGCCCCAAGTCCGTCATCGTTTGGGACCACTTCGCCTCCCTTGTTAGTTTTTGGGAAAATTTCCTTTTTTAAAACGCCAATGAGAAGTACAAGCGGCTCGTCGATCCTGTTCACCATAGTACCAGGAAAGCAGGGAGTCTACCATTTGCCAATAGATGCCTTTCTTCGAAGGCTCTCGATATGATACAATAGCGTGGAATCGCGCGAGCTACTGGCGATCCCCAACTGACTCCTGAACATGGAAGCTATGCAGAGGAGCGGTAAAGGAAGATCCTAAAGGGGTAAAAGCAGCAGTATGGCCGAAGTCGTCGAGGGTGAGAAAAGCGTTCGCGTAGCCGGGCTTCGTCAGGCGAGACCAAGATGGTGTCGTTTTCTTGTTCCAACGGGAGAATAACTGTATTTCGAAAGGCAGTGGAAAAGGTAACCAACGACTCCTACTTGGAACCTTTCGGCACCGAAGCCTTCTTCCCAAACTACCAACGTAAGGAGGATGAATATGTCATTCCACTGGCTCGTTCTTCCAAAAATCTGACATGCCATGAAGTCGATGAAGAACTGTACAGCGTCCGGTCATGATAGAAAAGGTCAACATCTGAAGCGCTATTCCTCAGTCATCGTCGAAACCCTTCACTTGGCTCTTCACGAGGTACCTGTCAAAGTGCAAATTGCCACGGCTTTGAGAATTAACAAGACTTCTCGTTGTGTAGTAAGGAAGAACCAAGCAATGTTGACAACTCCCGCCCGTACTGCCTGCTGCTGTTTATAATCTTTCCACACGATTCATTCTTGGCAGGGTCAGCACAATAGTGGACGAAGGACAACCGTGCGAATAAGCAGGGTTTCGGGTGGGGGTTTACTGCGATCGCTCACATCCACACTGTCACAGCTAAACGGAGTTCCATGACGGTTCAAAATACCATTACTTTCCTCGTTCCTTTATTGGAAGAGAGCCATGGACAATCAGGGTATTCCTTCTTCGTATATTTAATGATGCTTCATGGGCACCAAGCAACCTTACTGCTAGGATTCCGCCATTCTGCAAGGAAGTCATTGTCAACAAGAACACAGGGACTCTGTGTGGCACCGTCATGCCCGAACTTTACAGTGCCGCTCTCGAGAATATCATGCGTCATTTGGAATAGGAAGATCTGGAAATGGAGGTAGGCGGCCGCTGCGTACATCATTTCCGCTTTGCCGACGACACGTGCTTATAACGCCAAACATCGGGCAGGCGGAACAAATGGTGGCCGAGTTTGACGGCGCTGAAAGATTGGCTCGCATCGAAGGTAACGAAAACGATGTACATATAAAACGGATCCTGCAGCTCGGTCGAGAAGTCAGCATGATGAACGACGTAGCTCCGGAGCAGAGCTGAAGGGAACACGTGGTGTGGGGAGCATTTAAAAACATTGAGGGAATGATCATAAAGGCAAACACTCGACTCCACACTTTTTTCGGCGTGTTACTTCCTGCTTCAAGATACGCCTCTAACGGTTGGATCCGTTGTAAGCAGGATGAGCATGCAGTCAGCGTCATCCAACGCGCTGTGGAAAGAGAAGTGCTTGGACTTTTTCGACGCGCGTAAATGCAGAGATTAGTCTAGAGTTCCGAGCTTCGTGTTCGAGCTAACGTCAGGTCGGCCGGACACGTCATGCGGTTTTTTGGCTACTACATGAGGACGGCACTATTGACTAAACTGTTCAAGACTTCAAACCGTCACCAGGGCGACCGTCATCGCGATGATTAGACCTTTTCACGAGTCGAGAAGACCATACTTCCCGAAAATGGGTACTGGCTCGTTGAGGCTTTTCTGGCTGAGATTGATCATTAATATTGGATGCCAGGGTGAGAAGCCGGAGGGTAGAATGGTAAGCAAGCTCATCTAGTTGTTCGTCTCACCCTCAAAAAGTGTGGTGGAAAGTGTGGTTTCGCTAGGCGAGTAATAGGAAAGAGTCGAAAAAGCGCGGTCTATCCCACACAACCGTAAGGAACCCTGATGACTTATCCTATTATAAATGGTCTGCTGTTCAGGGTTGCAGGGGTGCGGAGTTCTCTGCTAGTATTGGTTAAATTAACCTGGACTTCTTGCACAAACATGCATTTTCATGATTCCGCTCTTGTAGATTTGCGGCAAACTTTCCACTTCTTGGGAATACTAGGTTCCGCTTGGTAATTTGGAGGTCATAAATAGTAAGTCACAATTGTAATCAAGTACACTCGTTTCTCCATTGCAGAGATTTTACTTTTCAGATTTTACTATTCATATAAATAGACCGGGTCTGAAACGTCTGTTCATTTTTTGTCATGTTTCAGTACGGATTTTGGGTGTTGTCTATCAGTGGTATCTTGCTGGCTTTATGATTGCCGTCTATCTACATGGTCGCGAACCAAAACAGGGCAGTTTTGTGGCTCAAGAAACACCTCAGCTTCTTTATCTTCTCATTTCCATTATCAATTCGAACTCCAAATCATTGGAAAGTAAAAATCTGTCGTGAATCAAAGAGAGCGGGGACAGAAATATATGGTTATGCTATCATGCAACGTACAAACCGATGTCAACAGAGAACTCCGTGGTCCTGCATCCGCGAACAGTTCTTGAGGATAAGTCATCCAACCCTTTCAATGTCGAGAATGGTCAGGCAGAAGGGGCCGCGACCTGCCTCTTTTTAATGACTCACCCTTTTTTCTTTTTGGCCGAGGTTCGCAGTGTTTGCATTTTTGGTCTGGAGGGTGTTGGCAAGGTCCACTTTGTTGTTGGCTATCCTCACGCTTTTGGATTTGCTGTTCGCCGCCACGTCGGCAGAATTCGCATTTCTGGCCTTCCTTACAGAGTTCGCACTTTTCGACCAGGTCGTTCTGACATTTTCCATATTGGCAGTGTTCACACTTTTCACCCGAGCCGTGTTTACATTCCAGGCTTCGCACACAGTGTTCGCATCTTTGCGTTGGGCTGTGTTGATGTTGGCATTTTTTGCGTTGCTGGCCTCGATGGCCGTGCTGGCAGTGGCAGTCTATCCCGTCTTTTAGTTGGCAACACTCGCATTCTAGACGCTCTTGTTCGACAAGTTGGCAGTGCAGGCATTTTTGGGTTGGAAGTTGTTGGCGAAGTTCACGTTGTTGTTGGCTGACATCACGCTTCTGGATTTGACATTCTCCTCCACGTCGACAGTATTCACAGTTCTGGCATGAACCTTGCTGACCCTGTTCTGCCTGATGGTTACATTCGCATTTATGGCCATAAAGACAATGTTCGCATTTTTGGCCTGGAACATGTTGATGTTTTAAGGCATTGCCTTGCTGGCAGAGTCCGCATTTCTCGCCCGGGCCATGTTGACATTTTCCACGTTCGCAGTGTTCGCACTTTTCGCCTGCGCCGTGCTGGCATTCTGAGCCTCGCATACAGTGATCGCACCTTTGGGTTGGGCTGTGACGATGTTGGCATTTTTTGCGTTGATGGTCTCGATGACCATGCTGACAATGGCAGTCTGTCCCGTCTACTAGTTGGCAGCACTCGCATTCTATGCGTCCTTGTTCGACAAGTTGGCAGTGCAGGCATTTCCGGTCTGGAACGTGTTATCCTAGGTAGCATTCTTCATGTGGTTGTGGAAAATAACATTGTTTTGTTATATCTAGTAGATACTAAGGTAGCCAGTGAGGAAAGCGACTCAGCTCTGTTACCAGGTGATTCAGCTTCCACGGATGAAAAGTAGAAGAGAAACGTTCGCTTGTTTTACTCTGACATTTTTAACTATGAATAGAAATTTGATGACTTATCCTTATGAGTAGCTTGTAAAACGCGCGAAGAACTATTGTCACCTCTATGAAGAACATTAGAGACTTGTGGAATAGAGTCAAGTATGTCATATGAATTGTGGACCTGACAAAAGCGATTAGATATCATGGTGTGGTTACTCCGGCTTTTTTAGTCTGTTATTCGCGAGCGGCAGTAGTGAGGGTTACGGTGGATTCCTTTTATCCACGCTGCGTAAATCCAGTTCATCACAAACACACAGGAACTTTCGGAATAATCCACTGATAACCGTACTCTAACGCCCGTTCGATTACCACTAGCGAAAAACTTAAGGTCAAGGACCGGTTTCGGCAGCATGAGTAGACTGGGATTGGCTTTCAGCTAAACGCGGAGGCCGAGATGTTCAGCTTGTTCCGTAAGCACGGCGGGTCATCAGTATTGGGAGCAAGAACGCGCAGAACTTTCTAAACTGTTTTGTTGATCCATTCGCTTATCGTAGTTTATGCGAGGCTGCGATAATTCCAATTAATGGAGAGAGGTGACTGGAATTCAATGCCGTTGGCGATGCTCCAAGTTGTTCGTAAGGAAAATGTATGGCAAAACGGAAAGGCAGCGGGTCACCGAACGCTGATCAATATCCTGGACAGATGAATGCTACTCCATTCAATGTGTAGGTGCTGTGGGTAGGTTTGTTGGACAGGACGCGGCAACGGACACGCAAAGAGTCCTGTCGGTTTCGAAGTACTGAAAGCGTTCAAACAGATTTAGTGACTTGGTGAGAAGACCAACGATAGGAAAGATATTCAGGCTCTGGATAAGCAGCCACGAGCTAAAAGAAAGCTAGAGTGACTCCTCTGGGAAGGTACAGGTGAAAGGAGTATCACTACAGCGAATGATTGGAGTAGAAGTAAACTAAGAGCACTGGCGCGGAAACTAGTCAGCTGAACAAAGTGGAAGTCTTCTTGAACTTTGAAAAATTTCCCAACATCCGTATAGCGTTATTTAAAAAATAGTACCAGCAGTTATTCAGGCACGTGTCAGACTATTTCCCATCATGGCAGAGGGCAGTTTCTGTGCAAAGTCATTCGAAAAGTTGACCTTCCGAACGAGAACGTTCCTTTATTGATTTTACTGAGAATGGTTTGTCGTCATGTAAGCCTGCTGATTCTTTATGACCTACCTAATGCTTGCTGGCTACAGATTTGAGTTCGTTATGGTGTTGGTTAGATTTGCAGGATAATGGAGCTCTCTACCAGCATCGCTTTGGATCATTCGAATAACGGTTGTTAAATTATGTTGTATTTTCATGATTCCACTCTTTTTGGATTCACGACAGATTTTTTACTTCTCAACGGGTTTTGCTAAAAATTGTGGAACTCTTCAATCGTTCGAAGATTGCTCAACCATAAATCAGATTACTCGGTCCTCCACATAGGCCAACTACTATATTGTTGTTCCAAGAAACTATGCTGGGTCATACGGCTTCAGCTGTTCATTTTTTGTTATCCTGCTGGACGTATGATAGTTGGTGGTTAATGGCTACCAACGATAATATTGCCGGAATCATGGTAACCTTCCACCTACATGATCGTAAACCGGACCTGGGCACCTGTTTTTCTTTCAAGACGACTTTCAAATACTCACCTTTTCTGAGACAATGTTGGCATTTTTGTCCTGGAGGATGTTGGCAGAGTTCACATTGTGCTTTTTGATTTTGACATTCACCGCCAAGTCGACAATACTCGCAATTTTGGCATGAACCTTGTTGACCCTGTTGTCCCTGATGCTTACATTCGCATTTATGGCCGTAATGGCAGTGTTCACATTTCTGGCCTGAAGCATGTTGGTGTTTGCATTCATGGCTTTGCTGGCAGTGTTCGCACTTTTCGCCTGCACTGTGCTTGCATTGATGGCTTTGTTGGCAGTGTTCACACTTTTCGCCTGGAGCATGTTTGCATTCATGCCTTTGTTGGCAGTGTTCACACTTTTCGCCTGGAGCATGTTTGCATTCATGGCTTTGTTGGCAACGTTCGCACTTTTCGCCAGGGGCGTGTTGGCATTTCCCTTGGCAGTGTTCACACTTTTCGCCTGGAGCATGTTTGCATTCATGGCTTTGTTGGCAATGTTCACACTTTTCGCCAGGGGCGTGTTGGCATTTTCCTTGTTGGCAGTGTTCACACTTTTCGCCCGGAGCATGTTTGCATTCATGGCGTTGTTGGCAGCGTTCGCATTTCTCGCCAGGGGCGTGTTGGCATTTCCCTTGTTGGCAATGTTCGCACTTTTCGCCTGGAGCGTGCTGGCATTTTTTGCCTTGTTGGTCTTGCTGCTCTTGTT